AGTAAATATTTTATATTAATCTTTTATTTAAAAATAATTTATTTAATAGCATCATCTTACAGATTCCTTCACAACTGAATATGTAAACAACTCCTAAGGGGTCAAAATTTTAATGATTGAATATTTAATTAATTTATTTTTAAATAATTGATTTTCGAATGATTTTTGATTTATTTTGTTGCCTTTTTAATATTAAAATAAAGATTATAAATTAATCTTTTATTTAAAAAAAAATTAAAAATTAATGTAAGTAGCGCCATCTTACGGATACTTTAATAACTATATATGTAAACAATGACGCGTATAGGGGTAAAATTTTAATTATTGAATATTTAATTAATTCATTTTTAAATAATTGATTTTCGAATGATTTTTGATTTATTTTGGTGTCTTTTTGATGTTAAAATAAAGATTTTAAATTAATTTTTTTTATTTACAAAAAATTAATGTAACTAGCACCATCTTACGGATACTTTGATAACTCAATACGTAAACAATGACGCATATATGGGTCAAAATTTTAATTACTATATATTTAATTAATTTATTTTTAAACAATTGATTTTTGAATTATTCTTGATTCATTTTAATGTCTCGTTGATGCTAAAATGAAGATTTTAAATTCATCTTTTATTTAAAAATAATTTATTTAATAGCACCATCTTACAGATTCCTTCACAACTGAATATGTAAACAACTCCTAAGGGTCAAAATTTTAATGATTGAATATTTAATTAATTTATTTTTAAATAATTGATTTTTGAATGATTTTTGATTTATTTTGGTGCCTTTTCAAAGCTAAAATAAAGATTTTAAATAAATCTTTTATTTAAAAAAAAATTTTAAATTAATGTAAGTAGCGCCATCTTACGGATACTTTGGTAACTAGATTTGTAAACAATGACGCGTATAGGGGTAAAATTATAATTATTGGATATTTAATTAATTCATTTTTAAATAATTGATTTTCGAATAATTTTTGATTTATTTTGGTGTCTTTTTGATGTTAAAATAAAGATTTTAAATAAATTTTTTTTATTTACAAGAAATTAATGTAACCAGCACCATCTTACGGATATTTTGATAACTCAATACGGAAACAATAACGCATATATGGGTCAAAATTTTGATTATTGAATATTTAATTAATCTATTTTTAATCAATTTATTTTTGAATCATTCTTGATTTGTTTTAATGTCTCGTTGATGTTAAAATAAAGATTTTAAATTAATTTTTTATTAAAAAATAATTCATTTAATAACCATCTTACAGATTCCTTTACAACTGAATATCTAAGGGGTCAAAATTTTATTATTGAATATTTAATTAAATTATTTTTAAATAATTGATTTTCAAATGATTTTTGATTTGTTTTGGTGCCTTTTTGATATTAAAATAAAGATTTTACATTAATTTTTTATTTAAAAAAAATTAATGTAAATAGCACCATCTTACGGATACTTTGGTAACTAAATATGTAAATAATGACCGCTATATTGGTCAAAATTTTAATTAGTGAATATTTAATTAATCTATTTGTAAACAATTGATTTTCGAACAATTTTTGATTTATTTTGGTGTCTTTTTGATGTTAAAATAAAGATTTTAAATCAATTTTTTTTATTTACAAAAAATTAATTTAACCAGCACCATCTTACGGATATTTTGATGACTCAATACGTAAACAATGACGCATATATGGGTCAAAATTTTAATTATTGAATATTTAATTAATCTATTTTTAAACAATTGATTTTTGAATCATTCTTGGTTTATTTTAATGTCTCGTTGATGTTAAAATACAGATTTTAAATTAATTTTTTATTTAAAAATAATTTATTTAATAGCACCATCTTACAGATTCCTTTACAACTGAATATATAAACAATAATTATTGA